GGATTTCAAAATGGATAGCTGGTGCTTGAACGGGTCCAAAATATATCTGAACTCCTATCTATATTCTTCCTATAATGGTGTAATTTTTATTCTAATTTGAAACCAGCAAATGAAGTTCAGAATCACCGACTAAACGAAATAAATCGGAAGACTAAAAACTGGTGTTCAAACACCCACATTCAGTGCTTGGTCTAGTAGCTTATGTCAAGAATGATTAAAGGAGCGAACTGTTACTAGGGGCCGGTACAGCCAGCCTATCTTTGGTTTAGGTCACGGCTCAGGTTCGAAGAGGTCAGCTTCCAAAGAGCCAGGAGCCTGAGCCTGCTTTGATTCCCTGTCTCCTCTGCCCTGTCTCACTTGTGCTCTGTGTCTCAACACACCCAAAAAAAAAAAAAAAAGAATGATAAAGTGTGTTAATGGATGTTTTGTCATTTTTTTAATGTTTATTTATTTTTGACAGAGACAGAGACAGGTAGGGGTTAGGGGGTGAGAGAGAGGGGAGACAGTTGTGAAGCAAAGCAGCCCAGGCCTCTGAGCTGTCAGCACAGAGCCCAACGGGGCTCACCACAGCTGTGAGATCATGACCTGAGCCGACACTTAACCCACTGAGCCACCACAGGCTTCCTAATGTGGATGTTTGTGCTCTGCAGAATAGACCATCTTTAATCTCAGAATAATCATGGTTTCTTCAAGAATGCCACCTTCAGAATTCATTTTAATAGTGACTTGAGAGGCCCATTCAAATTTGGACTCAGTAAGACAGGACGGAGCTCTGCTTGTTCTTCTAGCACCAGAACCCCTCCAGGAGTCAAGCAAATTGATCCCCACCACTGGTTTTGTTTCTATCTGATACACCCACTCACTAAAACCTCAGTTTCAGCTACTAAAAAAAAAAAAAAAAAAAAAAGAGTATTTTCCTGCCCAGCTGGAAAACCCCGAACTTGAGAAATTACAAAAGCAAAGTACTGGAGAAAAATGCAGGTTGAAGGGGGAAAGGGTAAAAGGCTCAGGGCCAACACGAAGCAGCCCAAATTCTGCTGGGAGTGTGACAACAGAAAGACAGAGGCTGTGGAGGCAAGATGCCAAAGCCGCTCCTCTGAATCCATCGTGCCATGCCGTTCCCGCCCCTGGGTGACTGACAGATACCGGCCTGGCTACCAGGTGTTCTAGGTCGGCCCACAGCCCAAGACAACTTCACGTGAAGGAACCATCTGGGTGCCGATGTCTTCCACTGCCATTCCTGCTGGGACCCGGGTCGCCATGAAGGGCTGGGATCCAGGTCTGCTGTGGGCCTGGCTTGGTGATCGAGAGGGACAGCATGCAGTCTTCTTAAACTATCATCATCAGAGCAGCTGGAGACATTTCTTCAGACCAGAAGGCATCCAAAAAGTCTGTAACAAATTAATAATCTTTAGCCATGGTACAGAATATTTAATAAACATATTTTCAGGGCTGTCAGGTAGAAACTCAAGGCTTTTAAACTAAAGGAACCTTTTGATCATGTAGCCCTAGATAAGGAAACCAAGATCAGAGGAGAGGAAGTGACTCCAAGGTCACAGAGCCCATCATCAGAGGAGAGAGTGGCAGACCATATAGTTAGGTCCCGTCTAAAATTCCATGCCACTTAATTTTCCCCCCCCTGCCATCAGAAGATTGAATTCCACAAGCTCACTTATATATGGGAGCCGCTCTTCCACCCAGGTTTCAAAGGACTAGAGTAAAGGGAATAGACACTAGGATTATCCACTCCCCATATAAAAAGTAGGGAAAACAAATAAAAAAGTTCAAAGGAGTAATGGCTCTACTTCCTCTATGGAAAAAAAACAACTTTCTGCAGAACACAAGGAATTTTACTGCTGATTTAGTTGTTTAGTCTTTATAGCAAGTGTACAAAGCAGTGGGTTCTCTGTAGTGGTATATTCTCTGGAAGTTCCCTTGATAAGATTTGTCCATCTGAAATGGATGCTTCAAAAATATTTAGTTTTTTAAATGTTTATTACAAAGGAAAGGGAAGGGCAGAGAGAGGAGACACAGAATCCAAAGCAGTTCCCAGGCTCTCAAAGCCAGAGTCTTACACGGGCTGGTCCCACCAACTGTGAGATCATGCTCTGAGCCAGCTGGGACACTAACCACTAAGCTACCCAGGTGCCCCTCAAAGCTTTAAAAGTGAACCAAAAAGTTCCAAAGAATGTCTTTTATTGATTTCTTTTTAATGTTTATTTATTTTTAGAGAGTAGGTAAGAGAAATAAGGAGTGGGGGTAGGCAGAGAAAGAGGGGACAGAGATCCAAAGCTGGCTCTGCACTGACAGCAGAAGGCCTGACTTGAGATCGTGACTCCGAGAGCCAAGTCAAACGTTTTAACCAACTGGAAAGCCACCAGGTGCCCCCCCAAAGAATACCTTTTATTCTGTAGTCAAATGTCTTGGTCAATGAATATGGTGGAGTTACAGAGCAAGGATCAATATTCTGAGGCTGCTCTACAGTACTCCAAAAATTCCGGTTCTAAGATCTGATTGTACATCCCAGATAATAGCCTTAAGAATTAAAAATATAAAATGATGTAGGAATTCTTATTAAAAAACATTGGCCTTAAAGGTATACTCTCCTCTCACGCACCTACCTTTCATTTACTTTAAGTCCAGGCTAAGTCTCTTGGCAACAAATGACTTGCATGAAATCACCAATGGTGTGTTTTTTCCTTTTTGCCAGAATTCCTGCAATCCACAGTGATTAAGGGAACAGGACCTAGAGTCAGCCGCCAAGATTCACCAACTTCCAGCTGGTTTTAACCTAGCTCAATATTCTCACTTCAAAATGTAGATAATAAGCCTGCCTAATTAGAAGGTTATTAAGAATTCAAGATTGCTGGAACACTTATTTGAAACACAGTACCCACCAAAAACTGGTGTTCAAACACCCACATTCAGTGCTTGGTCTAGTAGCTTATGTCAAGAATGACAAATGTATTGGGCAACTGGGCGGCTCAGCCGGTTAAGCGTCTGACTTTGGCTCAGGTCACGATCTCACGGTTC